CTTTCTCTGCTTCTTAGTATTTCTCCCAGGCTACCTGTCCCCGCCTACACCCTCTGAAGACTTTGTTTTCATGTCAAAGAGTGTCCAGAAGTTCCTTGTTCATCCACCCTGGCATTTTTGCCTGCCTTCTTCTTTCTTGGGATGCATTGCTCCCGGGCTTGGAGGAGGTAATCCTTGAACACTGACCAGCCTTCCTGGCCTCTTCTCCCATCCAGAATTTTATGCCATTATACCCTTCCAAGCAGATCCCTGAAGAGGTTGAAATCTGCTCTCCTGAAGTCCAGGGTAGCGAGCTTGCTTTGGACCCTCCTTGTTACCCTATGGAATTCCACCATTTCACGGTTGCTGCAGCCAAGGCTGCCCTTAAGCTTCATGTTGTCCACCACCCCATCCTTGTTGGTGAGTACAAGGTCCACCATGGTATCTTTCTCACTGGTTCCTCTGTTTGCCTATGTGTGTGATTTTTGGGAGAACCACCAGGGTGAAAGAGGAGCAAAACTGAGGCAATGAAATACAATGCTGGAAGAATTTCAAGGCCTGACCACTGACAGGTCTGCATGGAAGCTGTTCTGCCAAGCTAGGTGTATGGATCATCCAATAAGGAGAAATGAAGTGTATTACAGAAGTGGATGAAAAATATTTTTTCTAAACCAAGTGCCAAAAACCAAGGAGGCAAGCTGGATAGATGCTTTCATCCTTGAACTGTTCCAAAATGTCAGGAGGAGTGGGCTGCTAAGCTGTATTGTGAAAAATCTTTTTTAGGGAAGAGGTTTTTCTGTGAGTATTTTCTGACTCTTTAACACAGTTCATCTGCCTCACAAGGCAGCGGGTAACAGTCTTAAGCTTGTGAAGACACAGTATTTGATTAAACTGTTACAATGGACAAATCCTAAGCAGCTGGGGCTGGGACAAGCTGAAAATTCTGCCAGCCCATAAAGCTTGTCAAGACTTTAGAAGTTAAGCGTATAAGAGGAAACAGAAACAATTTTCTGTCTCTACAGACTGACTTACTGGGATGATTGCCCATAGTGGTGTTTTACACAGAGAGTTTAGAGAACAAGGATTTAGGGAGGTAGAGGAAGAGGCAGCTGGAATTTGGTGGATATGTGCTCATGAATATATCAATGAAGAAATACCACAATGTTCCATTTCAAACTCCCATAAATATATCTGCAGCTAAGAGTTAATACTTGTTAACTCCAGATGATTCATTTTCTTTAGATTCCTTTTTTGAAAACAAAAGCAGTTCTCAGTTCTGTGGAGGAAAATATAGGTTTGTCATTCCTTTACTAGCATTTAATCTACTTCACCATGTTTTGAATTTTCACTGTGTGAGAAAACCTTCAAGAACAACAGATAGTTTACACATAAGCCCTGTTCATTAATATTAGATAATCAGCTTCTGATATGATGTAATGTTTGTATTTCAGATACTTCCCAAAGATCAGCAATTTGCAGGGATTCACCAGGTGCAGTGCCCAGGTACTGGCCCTAGGGGATCTGTGGGGAGTGGCTGAGGCTGCCCCCTTCCTGACAGCCGATTCCAGCGGCTCTGCCCAATCCACTCTAAGGGCACTGCTGATCACTGCAGCCAAGCTGATGGCTCCTCTGTGAAAATATATTTAAGAAAGGGCAAAAACCACCACACAGGCAGAAGAGAAGGGAAGAAAACAAAAGAGAACCAGTGCTGACAACACCAAAGTTAAAGAAGCAGTGGAGGAAGTGGCTAAGGAACCAGAGCAGCCCATGAAGAGGACCATGCTGGAGCACACACCCACACTGTAGTCCACAGAGGATCCCATGACACAGCAGGTGGACAGTTGATGAAGGAACCAAGATCTATGTGATAACTTAAATAACAGGGTGATATCTTAAACAATACACAACATTCCATCATCTCTTTTATGGCCATGCTGATTGGCGTTTACCTGAGCAGTCTCCAAGCCTTTTGTATGTAAACAGCTAACAAGCTAAAGGAACTAAGGACTTTGTGGTTAAGAATTAGCTGACACCAGCAAGCCAGAAAGAAGTTGATAACCCTATGGGTCACCCTGCATTTGTCAATGAAGGGTTCAACAAAAGAATGCTTCTGAGTGACTCCCAAAGACCACCAAAGACCCCCACCTGAGAGGCTTTAAGCACATATGTAATAAGAATGCAAATACAATAATTAGTAGCAGGAAATCTGACGCCTACCTAGTAGGACAACATAAGCCTTTTCTGCTGTCACTTCCAGCACACACATTAGGCCGAACAAGCCCCTGTGCATCCAACACTGGAGTAAAGAATGCCTGCCTTCTAAAACTTAAAGAGAAGTGTCAGAGGATTCTTTCAGCGATCAAATTTTATTATAACATACGGAGAGCCCACACCACAGCAGCTCTTCTTGAAGGACTGCAGCCCATGTGAAGAGCCGACACGGGAGCAGGGAACTGCAGGAGGGGCAGGGCAGGGGAGCTGTAAAGGCCTGGCTGCAATTCCCCGCCCTCGACCGCCCTCCCCCTCAGAGCACGGGGCAGAGGACTCGAGAGTGAAGTTGAGCCTAAAAGCCTGGGGGACGCTAATTTTTAACTCGTTTCTCGCTATGCAAATATATTTTAATTAATAAAATCATGTTGCTCAAGTCAACTGTTCTACCTATCACAGTAACCAGTATGCAAGCTCCTTATCTTTATCTCCCAGCGCTGCCAGACCAACGGCAGGAGATTTAAACGGGGTGTAAACAACTGAGATCTCAGTCCCCGAGTGGAGCTGCAGGAATCAGACTCTATCTGCTGCGGAGCGGCTGATCTTGGCTAACAGCGGCTCCTTTTTCTCACTGTCCTTCTGAAGGTTTCCCTCTCGCAGGGAAACACGAGGGGAGAGGAAGCTCACAGGAGAAGCCCGCAGCTCCCCCCG